TGGGGGGGCACAAACAGAAAGGATAACACCTGTAAGAGAAGGGGGATGGAAGGTGGGGACAACAGGGAATAGCAGAGGGAAACACCAGTTGCAGAAAGCAACAAAACCTGCAATAGAACAGAGAGGGGGGCTTGGGGAGGAGAAAAACAACAACAAACAAACACAAACCATAAAAATAGTAATAATAATAAAAGACAACCAGCCGAACAGCAGCAATAAACAGCTGACATAGTAAGACAACTAAGAGAAAAATGAAAACAAGAAACCGTCACGCAAACTAAATAAGCAGCACAGCACAGCGAGAGCTGGAATAATAACAATTAATTTAAACAAGTAACTGAAAGAAAAGCATCAGGGATAATTTTACCAGGGACAACCTAAATTTGTTTGTGTCTATGTGTGAGACTGTATGTGTGTGTGTGTGTGCGCATAAGCCTGTTAAAGAATGTAGTTGTTAGTGAGAGTGGGATGCCACGACTGTGCCACACCTACCCCAGCAACAGGCAGGCAAGAACCCCAGCAGCCAGTAGAGGTGGGAGAAAGAAAAAATAAATAAATAAAAAAAGGGAAAAAAAGACTCCCAGACCCAACCAACAGACGCCCCCAAAAAATAGAGAGTTGACCAGTTGACAACGTAATGCCGACGGAACGCAAGAAACGTAACCCGCAGAAGAGCAGCGCCCGGACCAACCGCGGCGCGCACACAACATAGACCAGTGCTCCCCCCCACCCAGCACCCCAATGGGGAAGCATGGATGTGAGGCCAACGAAGCAAAACAGGGACGCAAACTGGTCCCTCCAAGCCAACGAGGAAATGCCTCCCCCGGACTCCAATGCACAAACTAAACACCCAGCAGCCATCCAAAGACCCTGCCCAGGGAAAAAGCACAATGCATCAAGATGCATCGACAATCACACTCCAATCCCACCGCAGCCCTCCAATCCCACCGCAGACCTCCAATCCCACCGCAGCCCTCCAATCCCACCGCAGACCTCCAATCCCACCGCAGACCTCCAAACCACAACTGGATCAACCCGCGCAATGCCCAGAGACCCCTATCCCCAGAAGCCAGGGCACCCCGTGACCCCCCAAAGCGCAAAGGACCCCAGACCGCATGTCCCGGGGGAAGATGTACCCCGCCCCGAGAAAGAACAGCAGAAAGCCGTGCCGGGAAGCTCCCCGCCGCCAGGGAGCAATAACGCGGGAGAACCAGGCCAACAGTCCCCCAGCCCAGCCAGAGGCATCCCTCCCCAGAGTGCAGGCAGAGCCAGCAGCCCCCGAGGCCAATCTCATCCCCGGACGGGGGCCCAGCCCCCCCAGTCAAGCACCCCCAAGGAGGAGCACCAAAACCTACCCCGACAACACCGGCCATGTGCCCCAGAGACTCCCGAATGCCCCCACTGTGAGAGAGCCGGAAGGGGGAAGCAGCGGGAGCCCCACCCCTGCTGAAGAGGGCCCGGGCGAGGAGAGGAGACAACGGGCCCCCAGGCCCAGGTACACACCACCCACCCAGAAATGAGCTAAAGCCAGAAGCCCGAGTCCCCAGATCCCTAGGTCCAGAGCGGGCCACCACGCCAGGGGAGCCACGCCCCCCCAACCCACCCAGGATCAGGCAAGGCCGTCACCAACCCCACAATGATGATTCTGATTTACTAACATCCGCACAGTGGTAAGAACAAAATTGGCCAGTGCGCACTTATTTTATGCGCAAAGCAAGAACATTCCTTTGCACACACCGTAAAACTTCAATTAATAGCTGAGTCCCATATAGCCGCCTACCCCGTTTACTGACCTGGTGTGGGAACATATTTTGACAAATAAACGCAGGTCTGGTTTTTATATAATTTCTTTGGATGTATAAAACCTCTTAAACCCCACCGGGTTGCCCGCTTTAGCTGCTTCTAAGCTGCTTAGATCGTTAATACAAATATTAATGTTTAAACGAATGATCAGTATGTCAGTATGCTACACATCATTAGATCGGTTAGTTTCTTCACAATTCAATCATTCAGTTAATTTAACGGAAACAACAAGCCCCAATGTTAATTCATATAGATTTACCGCTGTAACTGCATGGTACAAGAGAAAAAAGTGCAGACTCCCATTACCTTTGAAGCCTCTAAGTCCGCTCATTAAGTTTATTTAACTTTATATTCCTTCAGTCTGTAAGGGTCCACCGATCAAAAGAATCAAAACAGCTTTTCATAACAATTAATCCAAGTTATGAATCCTGTCATGTGAAGTCCATCGCTTTCTGTCTGCTAATTTCTGCCACACTTTTCTCATCCTGCACCCTGTTGTTGTTTTCGTTACATTGCTGCCTTCAAAATAAAAGCGCATAAGTCGTCTGCTAGATACAGTCTATGGCTAGATCAAATGCATGACGTGTATTTGATATTATTGGATCATTTTTATACAAGTTATATTCTATCTGTAAACTGTTTTGTGTTTCATAGTAGCCTATTTCAGTTTTGCGCAAGAGGAATTAAAGGCCTGTCCCATATGGACACCTATCCCAAATATAGACAGGGTCAATTCAGTGATTTTTAGCAAATAAAAGCCCAGGCTATTAATCAGAGTTTTACGGTATTAGTGAATGAGGCCCATTAACATGAAATTTGCTACATATATTCATGGATGTATCCGAATGACTTTGGTGATGACCTGGCTTTTCTTTATTTCAAAAACTATTATATTCATGGTCCCCAGTGGATTCATTGTATAAACTTTGATCCCCTGACCTGTAATCTATTGCTATCATCAGGTCAAAACGTCTATTTGTCCAATATTATGTTTTATGACCAAGTACCCTTCTCCGTGTCAGCTGGTGGAGAGGGCAGAGAAGAGTAGCGGCAGCTTGTGAGCAGTGCCTGTAGCAAGAAAAAGTGTCCGCCAAAACTGTAATAGTGCCGGTACTGGTCAAAACAGTGTACACAGTGAATGCCGACTGTAGAAAGCAAAAGCAGAATCCAGGACATTTTGGACAATTTTGAAATTCTGGCCAAACTCGTTTCTTAGGTCCCAAAAAGAGGACAAGTCCAGGAAAAAGATGACGTATGGTCACCCTTTGTTAGCATGCTGATGTTAGCATTTAGCTCTTTTTGAAGATTTCTGATAAAACTTGGCCCCATAAAATCTAAACTTTCTGCATGACTGGATACCACTAGGTTTTTTTGTGTGATTTGGATGAACCGACACTTTAAACCAGAGGCCGATTTTGGCTTTAGAATGGAGGACAAAGCCTTCCCTTCAGCAAAAACTGAAAGTGAGACTTAACCACCACCGCTTCTATCTTCTATCTGTAGTCTAAATAAAGGAGTCCTGCAGGGGAGGCTGCTTTTTATTCACATCTCAACAATCATAAACCTCTCTACATTATTGACTTTAGCAGACTACATAACCCTATAGTGTGTGCATGTGTGTGTGCATATGATACAGCAGTTTGGTAGATTGTGTGTTTTCCCCGCTGACCTGGACTTGGATGCTTGCCACTGATTGGGTGATCGGGTCGATGGATGGATGGAAGTAAAGATGGATCGCTGCAGGAGGAAGGAGGGAGTGAAAGGAAGAGCAACGGACCTTTCTAATCTTTGTCTGGTCACAGAAACAGCGTAGCAAGCAATACAGCTTCATCAGCCTGTTGTCAGCACTCTGGAGTCTCTGCCTCTCACATGCCTCTGCACACACACACTCATTCAAATCTCATTTGAATATACCCACACAGTTCCTCAGATTTCGCTGTCAGTAGCATGCATGAAGTTTACTTTCCTGCTTCCCTAACATACACACACACACACACAGTTCTGCCTAACTCATGTATCCAGAAGCAAAGATTTGCTCTCTTAATAGAGCAGCTAATCTTTCTGAAAGCACCTATTTTGCATGCACAGTCCAACCTATCTCTCTGTCTGTCTCTCAAAAAAACTGTCTTCTGCAAACACACACACACCAAAGTCATTTGATCTCCCCATTTTTCTGTAGTTTACATTTTACCCCTGGAACAACAGTGTGTGTTGCTGACATTCACAGTGCCCTTGTGACAAGCAGAATGATCAGTAAGACTGCAGAGATGAAGTGTTTGAGTGTGTGTTTGTTTTGTCTCATCAACTCCAGGCAGGTCTGGCCTCTGCTTGCATAATGCTACAATAGGGCACCTCTTTCTACCCTACAGCAACAGTTGCTAGGGTTACCGACAGGTCGGCCACCGCAACGATGAGAATAAATGAGCTCAGAGCTCCCATCAACCCCTGGGTCACACTCACTCTGCCTTGCTCTCTCTCTCTGACACACATACACACATTCTCCTGCATTCAATCCTAAGAAAGTAAATACCTGTACTTAAGCACATGACTAAACACTTTGAAATCGTATTTCATCACCTATCACACACACACAGAGTAGCATACACGCCCTGCGGTAACATTCTCATACTCACTTGTATATTTCCATCACCCAGCCTGCTACAGTATTCTCAGTGCTTCACTGCAAAGCACAGGGTTGCTAGTTTGATTCCAGCTTGTCAAACAGAGTATTGGCAGCGTCGGCCTGTCAGGTTTAAGCCGTGAGCTCTGAGCGCGCCACAGATCCATCATTATAATGATCATCAGCACTGACATCTCATGCATCACATCCCCCGCACTCATTAAATGTACTGTAGTCGCTCCTTTAGTCACTTATTCCATTTCTGTCCATCTGTCTCAAGACGGCGGCACTGTATAACACTTACGATGTGATGCATGGGTGATTATGTTTTTTTCAGTATGTCATTTTACCTTCTGTGCACAGATGTAGTGCTGGGAGCGCAGTTGAAAAGTACAAATACATAGTTCTTGAGAAAATAACCAACTGGACACCACTGTTTATCTGCCCTTTGTTTACCATTCCATCACTGCTTGTGCATTTGCGTTGTACCCGTTTGGTTTCTTAATTTTACTGTTTAGTGTGTACACTGAATATCCTTGTTTTTACTGATTGCTCGTCTGTCGCTTTTTGTCTACAGGACGACGGAGATGTGGAGGATGACATGACTATTAGAGAGGTAAGACAGCCAGTCACATAACAGATACAGTATATACACCAGTGTAACATAGTTGTGATCGGCCCCAGTGCAAATATATTTGTTGTGCCCCTCGGCCAGAAAAAACATGCTTGTGTACACACAGGTGTACAAACACACAACAACTCCATGCAATTGCAGACATGCAGCCTTTGATCAGCACCACGGACAGCAACCCAAGTGCCAAATGCAAAACTTACTGCCTGCTTTGACTCAAACCTGCTGTCTCTGACTATCAAACAACAGAAATAGCTTTAGCCAGCCTACAATAACAAATCAACACAAAGTAGATGAAATAGTATAACCACAGAACAAATAGCAATCAAGAAAAGCACAGCAACTCATTATGCCAACACAGGATGAATGAATGAATGAATGAATGAATCACAATCCAGCAAGTGTTGCTGTCCCTCATGGGCCCTTGAAATCAGCTGGGCCCACGCATTGCATCTGTTGCACCATTGGTACTTATCCCACTGAGTATAAATACACACACACACACACACCTTACAACCAATTACAGTACAGCAGCAAGGGATCAGAAGCTATCAGAGACTGCCTTTCAGACAATGAGTAAACAGCTTATACAGATGTGGTTCTTTAATTTAATTTAATTCATCAGTTTATCTTAATATATCAGGCTTTGGCTGCACAGACAGTACTCGTTAGTGGGATCACCTACAGTAATTGTTGGTTTTGTTTTGACAATTAGAAAAACATAGATTATGACCAGGCCTTTCCTTTATCTCAGCTAACAAATGCATTGGATTCTTGGTATTTGTATCAGTCTTCAAAAACCTATATTTCTCGTACTTAAAACTCATCTTGCACTTAATGACACCGCACCATGGCAGACCTGGCTTTTCAAATTCCTTAATATCCCCAGACGGGCCGATTACCCTGGAGTCTTATATTTTTGGATATGATATCATTCATAATTCATCCATCAACAGCACCTCTCATTTCCTCTCTGTCAGCCTCACATTCCTCACACTTTCTCCCTCTATCGCTTCTTTTTTTCTCTCGGGATCCCTCGTCGTTCACCTCTCATATGTCTGCCATGTCGTCACTTCTCGCTATGTCTCCCTTCCTCGTTCACTATTCACCTTCCTCACCATCCGTTGTTGTAGGCTTTGTATGATTTATAGAGTCATTCAGCGCGGTGCCTGGTCCTTTGATTGTCTATCAGAGGGAGGGAGGGAGGCAGGGTGATTTGTCAGGAGGTGGGGTTGGATGATTTGATGCCTTTGCTTCTGATTAGTGACTGGCACCAGGCATAAAGACATCGTCTGTTAACAGGATCTAATAGGCATGCAGTACTCCCAAGTTTTATAGTCAGACAAAAAATAAATATACTGCCAACAAAGAGAGAGAGAGTCAACCTTTTTATTCAAGATTAAAGTCCTGTCTATCATCTACCTCTGGTATAATTGTGTAAAATGTTGTTTATTTGATTGCCTGTGTATTAATTAATTTTTATTTATTGATCACTACTACACTGGCTGTTCTTCCTCAGTAATGTTTCTCTCCCATCCCTGAACTCTTCTCTGCTTGTTTTGCAGATTACAGAGTGGGAGGAGATGCAGCTTGATGAGCAGGTCAACTTCAACAACTGCAAGATCGACCCCGCTCCGTTCCAGCTGGTGGAGCGCACATCGCTCCATAAGGTCTGTATTGTAAATACAGCTGCTGCTCAACCACAAATATGTATCCTTGACACTAGGTATCTGTCTTTAGTACTGTTTTTCAGTTTATTCACACTGATAATTCTTTAATTATGGGAAGAAGTGCTTCACCAGGCCAGTTTATTTGTAAAGCACCTCTCAACAACAAGTACTATCCGTAACAAATAAAAAGGCATTAAGACAATATTATAATACTAAGAACTAATACTAAGAAAATACGTTTGATATAAGGAGGCATATAGGATTTGAAAATAGTAAAATAAAATAGAAGATACAAATAAGAAAAAAATTAACTAAACACATAAAGCAGCAAGTAAAAATCTCCAAATTATATTTAGGAAAAGGCAGTGGTGGACAAAGGTTTAAAGCCGTTACTAAAAAAAAACATGGAGCAAAACCTAAAGTTTGTTCCAGATATGTGGTGCATATAGACTGAAAGTTGGTTCTCCATGTTCACAGTAAGCAGACCCGTCCCTGATGGCCCCAGAGGTCTGGATGGTTCATAGTGTAGCAGCAGATCAGAGATGTACCTTTGCTCTTTGCTACACAGGGAGCCAGTGTAAAGATCTGAGAACTAGAGTGATGTGTTCCACTTTCCTGGACGTATTGAGAACTGTAGTGTTTTTACATGCAGTTTAAACAAGTGGATAACCTTATTTTTTAAACCTTCAGCTATTTTTGACTTAGACTTTTCTAGGTTTTCTCAAATTGTTGGACTGCCAGACTGTTTTGAATTTTGGAAAACACCCAGTTGTTAAGGTTTCAGTTGTAAACTCTCTTATGCATTGTACCCAAATATTTTTACCTTTTTTCATACTACCAACATGAAAGTTATATGTTATAGTGCTAATAATCCTGTGGGTAAAAGAGGATGTGGTGAAAAGTTAACAAAAGATCCTGTGACTGGGAAATGTATTAATAACATCTTCAGCATCTTCATATCTCTTCATATCAAGGTTTTCTATTACACAATGTCATGTAAGTATTGGTGTGAGGCCATCTCGATTCCCCTACACGGACAGAAGCACTAGTGAACAAAGTGAACTGCCACAAGTTCAGATATTCCAGATATCCTTGGGTGTGTAGTGACACTAGAGGAGCACGCAAACAACCCAGATTAACACACACACTCAAGCTCTTAGCCCCCCCCCACTGAGTGAAGGTGAAAGCACAGTGTAAAGAAGGAAGCTTTATGTTTTTAGAGCTTGTGTTGATTTAGCTTTCTTACTGCGGCACAGTTGCACACTCTGAAAGAGGCTGACACACACACAGTTCACTGTTGAAACTCTCACTTCGTACCAAGCATACAAGCACAACCCGTGTGTTTGTGCTTGCTCTTTCTCTCTCTCTCCCCCTCCCTTCCTCCCTCCCTCCCTCTCTTTCTCATCCTCTAGGCTCTGTGTGAATACTCTTTAAACATTTAAGAGAGGGATCCTGCACCAATCCATCTCGCCTCCCCTCCCTCTGCTGCACACTTCCAAAACCCAATACCACGCACAATCTCCTTCAGCATATTAAACACCTCCCACTGCCACTGTAATTTATACAGGTGTGTGTGCGTGTGTGTGTGTGTGTGTGTGTGTGTGTGCATGCGTGAAGTTATTCTCCACATCTTGCCCTGCTCTCTTACTCAGCCTTTCTGGAACTGGCTACCATTTATCCCATCCTGTTTACTGTTGCTGTTATTCTGTGTTTGTCTGTGGGCTCCTTTGTAACGACAAATCTGTGTCTTGGAATATTTACATGACAATAACTTTTCACAGTTGCTTTGGTCTGGGTTTTGGCCCTAGGCCGATGTCAGTTCATTTGAGGTAGTGGCTAACAGGACTCAAAGCAACCCACATTTCCATCATTTTGTACATTTTCATGAATGAAAAGAATTCATGAAGCTACTGCATATATTATAATTACAAAAAACATACAGCTGGGCAACAAATTGTAAAACCAAGTGTCTTAGTAAGGGTTTGGTCCAATAGGAGCCTCCAGAACAGCTTGAATGCTCCTTAGATTGTCATAGATTGTCCAAGATAGTCTTTGGTGTTTTGCCTTTCAAGTACACTCAAGAGGACTCAAGTGACAAAGCAGTGGACATTTTCATTTAAACATTTACCAACAACTTGTCTTGTTAAAAACAATGTCCCAGACACTCAGCATAATGCTCAAAACCCAACAGTTTTCTTCATTAAAGTAGCTGAAATAATAAAATGTTGACATCACGTGTTGTGGATTTCTCAGTGTGCCATCAACATTTCTTCAGGGAAGACAAATTGCTGTTGAATTAATTTTCTTTTTTTAAGAAATAGATTGATATTTTTGGGAAATACAATTATTTGTAGCCTCTGGTACTGGCCATGCTTCTCCAAAGTAGGACCACATTTCCAACAATCCTTATTCCATTGTGCCAAAGACCCCAAAATTTTGTGCAAAATGCTATGCTGAAGGTGGGGTCTGCTGATCTAGCTGGTTTTTGTCTAGAGTTTCTAATGTCTGACCTTACTGTGCTGATGATCACTTAATTCTAAAATGCAGCACCTTTTAATCAGTGAATTATAGTTTAAATAAATGTGAATCGGCTGAATTAGAGGTGAGCTCACTCTGCTTCCAGAGAAGCTACTATATCCTCCTCCTGTGACAGATTATATTACGACTGACTCTGGCCTAAAAACACATGACAATCTCTTTCTTGGCACAGCTTCCGTTTGCTTGGCACAGTGGGATCAATTTCAGATGTCCCAGATGGCCATTCTGGCTAAGCAGAAAGTCCCCTTAAAACACTAAACACTAAAAGGGTCTAGAACAAAAAGTCCACTTGGCATCAGTCCTGCAACCTTTGTGATCCCCACTGAAGTTTCTGACCTCTTGCTCTTTTTGCTTTTAGAGCCACACTCCACCAAGGTAACTCTAGTAGGGAGTATGGGGTAAATCAAATGGGGAAATTGAGTTATTGTATCAGCAAATAGAGTACCAAGAGAGCAGAGAATATAATAGGGTCATAGAAACCTACATTTTCAACTAAATTAAAACAAAGTAGAAATGTAGGAATAATTATATAGTCGTGTGAAAAAGTGTTTGCCCCCTTGATGATTTCTTTTTCTTTCTTTTCTTTTGCATGTTTGTCATGACAAAGATAAAACCAGTAAACACAAAATGCAGTTTTTAAATGAAGGTTTTTATTATTAAGGGGGAAAAAAATCCAAACCTACATGGCCCTGTGTGAAAAAGTGATTGCACCCTAAACATAATAACTGGTTGGGTCGCCCTTAGCAGCAACAACTGCAATCATGCGTTAACGATAACTGGCAATGAGTCTTTTACAGCGCTGTGGAGGAATTTTGGCCCACTCATCTTTGCAGAATTGTTGTAATTCAGCCACATTGGAGGGTTTTTGAGCCTTAACCACTTTTTTAAGGTCACACCACAACATCTCAATCAGATTCAGGTCAGGAATTTGACCACTCCAAAGTCTTTGGACTTTGCATTTTGTCTTTCCTTGTGTCTAATATTTCAATTAGTTTGACCTGCAACATTTCAGTGTGACAAGCATGCAAAAAAATTAGAAATCAGGAAGGGGGCAAACACTTTTTCACACCACTGTATGTATGACACTAATAGAACATAATGACAACTTCATTATTCACAGAACATTTTAGTGCTGTTGTTTTTGTTATTTGGACTGCATAAAAATGTATCATATTGTTTTTTAAAAGGTTGGATATTGAGCACATTACACACATTAGTAAAGGTTCACTCAAAAGTTCATTTAACAAGAAATAAAATGTGGATTTGATCATTTAAAGCCTGTAACTTAACTGATGTAAATGATAAAATTGACTTCAACACTATTTTTAGAAGCTGGTCTTGACATTTATCCCTCTTTTATACAAGAGACTCACAGCGCTTTAACATCTTCAACCTGCGTTTGTCTGCATTCACAGCTGTCACAGGTTAATGTGTGGTCATTACCGTTAGTAGAGACTCTGTCTGTCTGCAGGTAGTTCCATACACATCCCTGCTAAACATATAAAAACATGCAATTACAAATTAATAACACAGTTTTCAGCCTGGTCATCAGTAAAATGCTAAAACATTGGCAACATGAAGTGAGAGATGTGCCGGTTCATTGTGGACAACAATATAGTGGCAATCGGTGTTATCACAATATTTATCGAACTTTCCTGAAATACTGCTATTATAATTAAAACACAATTACAGCACAATTACTTCACACCATGCTTGCCTTTTTATTTTATCAAAACTAACCAACACTAAACAGTGAACTGAATGTTGCATCTTTTTTGGAAGCTGAAAAAACAATTTAAGACAACTAGCTAATGTGCACATAGCAAGCCATAGTCACAGGAAAGCAAGATAGTACAGTGTCCATGTTATCACCGGTACTTTTTATCCCACTCCCTGTATTTGTGTTTAGATTCCTATTCTGTTAAACCTTCTTCTATATTTTGCCTTGATTATTTGGTACTTTAATCTAATTGTATCCCATTTAGCTGTACATTTGACTAGTTGAATGAATCCATTGTGAATGAAGTTGTCAGTGTTGGATAATTGAAGTCAGTGGTGCATTTCCCTAACTGAGCTTGAATTTCTGTTGAAAGTAGGAACCCAGTGCAGTATTGTCTCTGGTTTGCACTGTTTTTAGTGTTTCACTGATTGTTTCCTACTACCTCTGCTTTTTTCCTGCAGACCCACACCATCTTCTCCCTGCTGGGCCTTGACCATGCCTATGTCACCAGCATTGGACGCCTCATCGGGGTGGTTTCCCTCAAAGAGGTAAGAACCTTGAAAGAACCTGGGAAAGTGCTGACTGTCATTATTTACACAGGCAGCATTTTCACTGCTTTTATAACTGTCAAATCAATGTCATTATCATCAGGAGTGCTGTCAGCGTATTGTACGCACACACAAAGAGACATTTCAGCATTTCAACATTAATGATTCTTCCTCCCTCTGCCTGTTACGTACTGTGACAGACAAAAGGCTGCTTAATATTGCTGTCTCTATCTATTGTCTCTGCCCCCCCCCCCCTCGTTCCATCTCTCCTGCCTCACAAACAACTGAAAACCCCTCACTCTTTGTGAAACGGCCAGTAAGTGGTGAGAGGATTGTTGCTAAGTGCAACGCTGCTTGCCTGTCCCTGACATTTAGGCTTTTTTGTTCTGTGTTCCACCAGCAGACAAAAACCCAGCCAAGGCAGATAAAGCCCAGCCTCTCCCAGTCTGCCTGTCTGTCACACAGACATTCTGTTATATCACAGGCTCGCTGGTCTATATGGAAGAGAAAAAGCGCAAGGATGTTTGTGTGCCTGATTATAGTGCATTATTTCCACACTACAGCATGCAGACACTATTAATGCTGCCACATGATGTGTAGCACCCAAATCCTTCACCCTATCAGCCAAATGACAAACAGAAAATTCAATAATACTGTCTTACACAGGGATCAGAGAGAGATTGGATGAAAGAGATTGTAGAAAATTGCAATAAACTTTCATGCAGCTCCAATGTTTTGAGGGGATTGAAGATATTTCTTTTTATTTTAAAAAGTATGGATAACAATTTTGTATATGCCAAATAAACTATAAACTATATTAAGAATACAAGATACTCATGTTTTCCTTTTTCAATAAAAAAACAAAAACATTAAATCACATAACATAATGTTATAACTGAGAGAGTGTAAAAACGAGTTACACCTGGCATTAAAATGCTTTTTTGGTTGGATTACAATCGGATAGTGCTTGACTGCATGAAAGTACAGATGGAAATGCACCTAAGACGTACGTAACGGTCGCAGTGTTCCGCAAATAAAATTGAGAGTCTGATGGCGCATACAGGCAGTGCGTCCACACTGTTGTGCATGACCACGCTTAAAGAGTGCCGTTGATTGAACATGCTAATGTTTTTGGTGAACTGAACATATGCATTTTGGCACGTGAACCCACGCACTGTTAAATGAGGCCCCCAGGAAGTGCGCCATGCTTTGAGGCCAATTTCACATACTTGCCCTATTGGCCGCCATCATGGCAGAGGGAGGTGGGGTTAAAGGAAGTGCTAGTGTGATTGCTCCTGTGGGGCAGCACAATGTGGAAGCTACATGGAAGAGCAGGGTAATTTTATACCTGGAAATCAAACTTTTTTGGATTCATGCGCCACTGAGCAGCTTTCACAGGCATGAACGGAGCCCTGCCTCCAATGCTGTATTCTTTATAGTTCTCTTTATATATCAGTAAGTTAAAGTCAATATAAACTAGCAAGGAAACAGTGCTTTCCAGCTTAGCTATTACATCGGCACACCGCTGAAAAGAGATCTATACAGTTAAACATTGTTGATTTCCTCTAATAAGTTGTGTGTGTGTGTGTGTGTGTGTGTGTGTGTGTGCTGTGGCAGAATCAGGTCTGACCCGGAGTTGAAATTTTTTAACCTACTTTCATTTCCACTGTGTGCGGGAGCGGCAGAGATAATTTTTCCTCTCCCCTTATTCTGTGAAATGATTCAGCAAACAGCAGCAAGTCAAAGGCAATCTGACCTCACTTTACACTGCATACTGCCCTCTGACCATGATCTTTTTTCCTCCATTATATTTTGGAAAAGAGATTCCAGTTCAAAATAGAAAATGGCTTGTGTGCCTGTGCATTAGATTGTAAACTACCGAGATGATCTTTCACTGTAGAGCAAGGCCAGTACAGCATCAGGGGTTAGCAGTTCTATTTCCACTGGGGCCACCCATGCCAAAACTGTATGCAGCACAGCATAATAAGGCACTGTGAAGAAAACCCTGTAACAAATAGCACAATTTAGGCACCTTATGTTTTCTTAAAACTGAAGCTACATACTAATTCTGAGCAGGGCTTGAATATGTAGAATACTCAAACCAGACAGTATGCATACTATAAATACATTTTTACAGTCAGTTTGCGGTGGTGATGGGGCAGTGGATAACATACATGCCTTTGGTGTGAGAGACCCAGGTTCGAATCCATTGTGAGACACCATTGTGTCCCTCAGAAAAACACTTAACCCCTCATTGCTCCAGAGGCGTGCAACGTCCAACATATATAGCAATTGTAAGTCACTGTGGATAAAAGCATCAGCTAAATGTAAATGTAGTTTTTTATTGTCCTAGTGATGAACACTGTTCTACCACATCGAGACATTTTGATGTGGTAGTCTAGTTGGCAGTGGAATTCTAAAGTTGCAGTTTGATTGCACATATGTATTAAGTATTATATTAACTTTAATTTACGGTTAGTCTAAAATGGTTGAGTATGGAGATTTTCTTTGAACACCAACTGCTTAAACATTACTGTGACGATTAGTATGTTTTACATACTGTATAGAATTAGTATGTAGTAATAGTATAGATGGGGGACCCACTTTAATTCTTTGCAAAAACTGAGTTTCAGTATCTTAAAACAAGACAAAATAAGCTGTACTATGTCTAGGATGACACTGGCAACTCCTAGCAATAGCATAAAAAACTGGCTATGGCAGAAAGCAGTGCACGCCATTGTGAAGGGCTGAAAGCAACACATACAGTGCACCAATTTTCACTGAGATTGTCTAGTTATACAGAAAATAATGCCATCAAAAGTTTTTCTACAATGCTTTAATCACATAAAACTTGTGCAGTTTGAGGCTATAGGTAATTATCCAAGTTTAACAATGCAAAATTGATGTCATTTCGCATTGACAGAAATGGAGGACGGTGGTATTTATCGGTTTATATACTGTTGAGATTTCACCACAGTGACCTCTTAAAAGTGCTGCAGGTGTCATTAGAAGCCAGGGTCACAAACATCTCAGTCCAGGCATTTTAGGTTGGGAGCTTAAAAGCCATAAATTGTGGTTGGTTAACATAGTTTCATTGGGGTGTTATGTGCATGAGCGCCTAGACGTCTCTAACTAACTTGTCTTTATCCCTCCAGCTTCGCAAGGCCATCGAGGGCTCCGTGACAGTGAAAGGTGTGAAGGTGCGTCCTCCTCTGGCCAGTTTCCGGGACAGCGGCACCAGCAGCAGCGAGAACGAAGCCACTGAGCTCCACAAGCTGTGGGATCGCCATAAGAGCATGTCGTTGCCCCGCGAACGCCACCCCTCTGAGTCCGACGAGAAATCCCAGTGAGAGAAAGTAGAGGAGGTGGAGGAAGAAGAAAAGAAGAGGGAGGCATTGAGATATTTAATCCCCCAAAGCCACAAACTAGGAAAAATCCTCAGGGCTTAGGAACAATATTTAATTCTGGAAAGAGTTCTACTGCTACGCCAGCCTCTTCATAACTCCTCATTTCTCTCCTCATCTACTCCTCTTTCTCTCCACCATCCACTTTCCTTCAAGGACCCACCAGCGCTTTGTCCAGGAGTCTTGCACTGACCAAGCCAGACACTCCAAGAGGGAGTGGAACACAACTCAACCTGTGCCCTGCTCTCCATTTACCCTTGGGAACCCACAGCAAAGTGAATGTGGATTGGGGGGCGGGCAAGTGTGTCGAATCCAACTAGGGACTGGGAATGGGTTGAAATCTTAAAAAAGGGATTTTTTAACATCCTTTGTTTTGTTTGTCTACTTTAGAGTTGGGATCAAATTTTGGACCTGGAAAAGTTATCTTTTGAACAAGTCTTCCACTCGGGTAGAGAAATTCAGCAGAGATAAGCGTAATGTAGGCATGTACTGTAAGTGTGAGTGTACGAAATGAGAAAATGTGAGTGTGCCTGAAGAGGACGTTAGCAAACATTTCTTCAACAATTTTTTACTGCCTTTACAACATTTTTCAGTCTTTCTTTTCCAGCTTGAATAATTATATTTCTGACTGATCAGGTGGTCTGGGTTTAACTGGAATTTGCATGGTACCATTTCTTTGTAAATTACACTTAAGTCTGTCCCATTGACAAGCATTGGACTGAGGCGACAGATGCCTTGATTTTCTGCTTTTTCTTGATTCCATTATTTATTCTTTCCTTGGTCTTCACATCTCTTCACTGCAAGTCTAAATGGTCCAGTTGAAAGTACAGTCTATGCAAGCAGATATGCCTGTTGGCAGTGGCGGACGCATCTGTAGCTCTCTCCATAATGTACACTCCTTTCATACCGTAGCTACGGCCTTACATTACAAAGACACATGGAAATACACACAAACAGAAGTCAGCGATGCACTCAGAGTCAAGGTTTTCTGCTTATCTAAATATAGCTCTTAATAACCGTTCCAGAGAAGGTAGGGGCGGATGGAGAGGGCAGGAAGCGAGGGAGAGACGAGGAACAGGGAGCAAATGGATGGCTGAAAGAATGGAGACCTCATTACCTAACCAGCTGCTCTGGGCCCTCTCATCAATCTGTCTTTGATTTCCATGTTAGCTAACCTCCAGTGCTATCAGAGACACAGAAGCCACCCAACAGCTATATGAGGTAATGGTTCAGGGCTGAGGCAGACACTGTTAAAGTTAACGTATACAGAAACAGATGAGCAGAATGAGCTTGATTAATGCAGGCCAGTAGCTTGAGTGAAAAGAATGATTAGTCGATATAAATCCGTTAAAGGAAATCCATAACTGACAGATAGTGAGCAGTTCATGATATAGTTTAACCATTTAAAATGCACCTCCTTTACCAGCACCACTCCAAATCATCACTAACTTATCTCTCCAGCTACCAACCCAATGTGGTTGAACTTGGAACTTGGTCTATTAATGTTTTAATGACAGCATGGTTTCACATTCAGGAAGCACTCACATGGCTGATAATGTATACATACTGTGTATTTAATAATTATTTTCTGCCGTAATGCTTGAGGCTTGTCTGTACGCTCTCTGCTCATCGACAAAAAAAAAACATTGATTTGTTTTCCCTCTCTTCCATACCTCCATCTTTGCCACTTCCGCCTCCATTTTTTACTTGGTGGGCTACTGACCCTAAATTTGTGCTTTTATGTTTTATTTACTTTTTGGGGGGGGACCAGACAAGGATGTCTACTACTACCTACAGAAATAGCTCTGCTGTTTGGAGGCCTTAAATATGTACTCATACCCAATTTCATTGTGGTCTTCAGCATTTGCATGTATTTTACTTTTGGTGGTGTCTTGCTGCGCTCCACTGAAAGTAAAATGAACACAGTAAAACAGCATGGCTTTGCATGACAGAGTGCATGTGAGCTTTGTTTTAGATGACAGGATGTTACCAAAAACAAAAGCTTGAAGGAAATTAATATGGGACGAGTGAATGATGTTGTGTCTTAGGGCCATCTGGTGCCTGTTTATGTGTCTTTACAATATCTTATTTTATACTTATAGATTAGATCAGATTATTGCATCTTTCATTCATCCAATGAGCTTTATTCATTGCCTGATTTTGAACTGGGAATGGGGCCTTTGGGTTAGCAAAGTTATGCTTACAGATTAATATTTAACATTATTACTGTAATATAAAATCATAATTTAATGTCTTAACCAATCTTAAATTGTAGACTATTCTCTTTTTGAAAGAGATGTTTTATAATGTTTGTTGTGTTTTGTTTTTCACCTTTAAAATTAATGCTGTCTTTTATGTTGTCCTTTGACATGCTGTCATTTCTTCAAAGACATTTGTAAAGTGCAAATAACACTAACGGGGCAAAGGCTCACAATGGCTGCCTGAAGCATTGAAGCATACAAGTGTAGGAAAGTTAATGTAGAAAGGACAAGCATGTGGTCTGTTGGTGACATGTTCATTCCACAAGTGCCTGCATCAACTCCTCCTCTTTATCAATAAGCAATCGACACCTAAGTGTTTGGATCTGTTTTTTCTAGTCGTACGTATGTAGACGAGGCACTTTTCACACACATATACACAAATATGTAAGCAGGGTGGGTGATGTGTCGGCGCGGTGTGCAATAATCACCATGGCAACCTGCTGTCGTCGTCACCCCCCCCCCCCCCCCCCCCCCCCCCCATCTGCTCACCCCAGGGACTAACTGAGATCCACTCGCCTGATTTGGTTCTGTTCATTTGTTTGTCCTTTTCATCGATTTTCATTATTCTGCCTCTTGCCAGAGCTCTCGCCTCCCCGTAAATTTCAGAATTTTTCATCTCATTTGCTACCAGACAGATATAGACTGAGGTAGATGCATATTTATTAGTCTGTATTAATCAAAGTAGAAGTTGTAAAATCGTCTCATTCTTTTTATGGAAGATCTATTTGTAGGTAATCAATTTGTGCAATAACGGTTGTTCATCTCACTTTGTAACCCAGTTTTAATTGATGACATGAATGCAAGATAACCTTATTTTTGTAAAGAAACCTGAAAAGTGTAAAAAGATGTATGTATATGAGGAGAACTGACGCTCACACAGGCGCTTGTGTGTGATAAAGTGATGTTTGAATGACAGGGGAATGAAGGGGAACATTTTCCTAAAAGCCTCAATAAAAGATATCAGAATCTCACTACAATCAGCATTATGATGTTTAAGGACACTGTTTACACCTTTAGGTGTTGTTTGGCCTTTGATCAAGAATAGTAGTTGCTTAGACTCCTCATTTAGGCTTTGGAAAACCTTCCCTGTCTGGTCTTTAAAGGCTCTCTAGTGAATACTGCTGCATGGGCTGTAGCTGGCGCTCTCATACAAGCCCCCACTTTAGCACTGATGCGGTCAGTTTTATCATGCTCCTCTGTCCTCTCCTTCAGTCTGAGGGGCTTTGATAAGACCTGATCCTCGCATCAGCTGTTGAGGGTTATCTTTTATCCACTCCTTGGGGACTGTAAATTGTGCATACTGGAGGCCTCCACTACGGCAAACCCTGAGGGTCAAACCAGACAGAGCTGAACAAAATCCAGAGCTATTTTTCACACAGAAAAATGAAACATTGTTTTGTATATCAGGGATGAATAAATGAGATTTTAACAAACAAGTCTTTTGTTGAAGATGACTTTCTGTTTTATATCTCCCAGGACTTGTGTTATTCTGCAGCTGTGATTCTTCCCTGCCTGTCCTCTTCCTTCCCTTCAGTAACAGCTGCGAAGCACCTGGAGTGTTGTTTTTGCCTTCCGCTAATACTCCCAGCGGGGAAGCAAACACAGTAATGCCACAGTAACGTTCAAATTAGTTCATTTTGTCCCAAATCTTTTTATAGCACAGGAAGTCTTTATATAACATTTGCTCCATAACCCTCCTTTGGATTGAATTAGAGGTCCTCCATAAATACTCACTACTGCAATATCCATATTTATACCCTTTAATTCAATCTGCCCCAAGCCAACTCACTGAATCAAAGAATAAAGTATTTAATGAGGTGTACTTCTTACTAATGAAGAGCTCATTTCTTGTCAAAAGTTATTTCATTGCACCTAGTCAATACCTTCTTGAAAATCCATGAACATACAGCTTTTGTTCAGACATAAACAGAAAAAAGCGTCTTGTCCATATTAACCTACAAATTGTTGATCTGAGTGTGTATAAGGTGTGTCTATCTACCAGATATATGGTAGGTTCATGGTTCACAATGAATTGCACTTGCAGCCACAGTAATTACATGGAAAACAAAGTCATACTATGTCCATGTGTTTCAGCCATCAACTGACAGTTTAATGAAACTCACAATCTGTCTTCTATACAGCGGTGAGGAGTGCTCTGAATGCCTAAAATCAGTATGGGTAGCAGTTTTGTTAAGCTGAACCCAATTTGCTGTCTTTAAAAGGGTACTCCATTGATCAACAGGTCCTACAACTTTGTCAGACTCACTGTGACCAGTGCTTTAAAAAGAAGTCATTGCAACCGAATCAGAGATATCTTTTTTTTAATTCCATACATTTTTTTCCATTGTCAAAACCTGCTGCCTACATTAACCACAATGCTACTTGAACGGTTCGATCAAAGATTTGGGTGTGTTATTCTAGTAGGGGCTAATGTGTCCTTGAGCCTCTAGCATCAAGCAGAGATGAGGAGCTCCAGAGGTCTGGTAATCTCACGTCTTCCTATCTCCACACCCCCAGATTGTTTACATGTTCAAACGTTAAAGCCCCCAATTTATTCACACAGCGCTCTCTGGAGACACAAAAAGCTTTTCTACAACTTTTTTGGAGTTAGTCGAGTGCTGCACTTCAGTTCAAGTAATGCAGCTCTAAACTCAATTAAAATGGCGTTCCTGTAGTGCTTTCCCATTGGGAGGGTGAACTGCAACAGTTGGCTCAGTAATGATCTGCAACCACACACTTTTTTTCAGTCTCAGTTTTGTCACAACACATTTGTTTCTTTGTCAGTGTTTCCGGTCCCCTCCTTCTGCTGCGTCCTCACCTACAACATGCACACACACACACACACACTCCTTCATTCTGTTGTTTTGCTGTGTGTGAATGAGATGAGAGCATCTGGACTATAATGTTTAGAGAGCAATGGTAAAAGCTTAATGAGCTAAATGAGATTATTCGTTAAGCAGGCTGCAGCTCTATCCCTCAGTGAGTTTCAGGTGGGAGCACGGGACCTTCTGTAGAGAGAGTGAGTTGTGGCTGCTTGTGTGTGTGTTGTAGAGATCATTTTGCATTTTTCTAAACTTCTGTTGTTGTTCGTACCTCCCACATAATCTATAATCCACTCTAATCCAACTGCCAGTTAATAGCAGTAATGACTGTGCGTCTAACTGAGTGTGGGCAAGTTCGCCAGGACCGAGAAAGACAAGTCAAGAAAGAGTTGGAGCAAAACGCAGCTACATCTGTATTGTGGTGAACAAGGTTGGAAACACTTGAGCAGCGTTGGGTAGCGCACCATCTGATCAATATTAAAAAAAGGTGTCACTCAAAAAAAAATCCTCTGGAGACAACCACACTCTGATCTCTCCCAACAAGGATAGAGAAATGGCAAAAAAAAAGTAAGGTGCTTGGTGTAGGTCAAAGGTCATCAGACAAGGCGGGATTTGAAGAAGACAACGACCACGACGATGACATAAAGTAATGGCGCAGCAGAAACAGCAGCTCAGCAAAAGTTGATTGTATGATGTTATTGAACCAATAATAATAACCACTTTTTTTTAAATAGTTAATCTAAATAATCTTATAATCTTTAAAAATAAGCATTTTATTAATATTTATGTTTCTATTAAGATCATTGCCCACATTTTTTATTGACCAGTGTTTTTTTTAATTGTATTGAATTGTGGTATTTTACTTTTTCCACAATAAACAGATGCACTAATCATGCTGGTTGTATAATTGTTTTCTGCGCCTGCTTACTATGACAACATGCAATGGGACTGTTAACTGTTGATACTGCTAGCCTTTAATATAACGCTTCCGCTGGTGTAGGAACATGCACCAAAATCGGAGTTTAAGTTTAAAAATGTTTCCAGACCTTTGTGAAAGTGTGACATTTATGTAGTATTAATGACAGAAATGATTTTTTCATGGTAGGTCATGTTTAAATTGCTTATTATACTTTCCCAGATCACTTTAACATTTAGCTTGTGAAAACAAGAACAAATTGAGCAAGAGACTGATGCTTTTTAATACTGTGTTGTTAATAAAGTATTTTTTTTAAATGACAGGCTACTGTCAACTACAATTTTCACACATGCGTGGTACAAATTGGGCGGGAATAAGAATGCGCATGTGCAGAACAGAGCGTACAGAAAGGTGGTGCGGCTACAGCCAATCATTACAGACTCTGCTGCGAGGGGGGGCGCGGCATGAGCAGTGCTAGAGTCCGCGGCCGAATCTTATTGAAAGCGACAGATATTTTTCTCAGGAGTTGGTGGAGACCAAAACAGAGCTTCAATGAGCTTGAGAGTGAATATTGGCCATAAACATAACTCCAAATAATTACTAAGGTTTCTGTGCCACCTGTTATGGCAAATGTGTATAGCAAACACACTTGCCATAACAACTTAATAAGGTAGTAGGGGTTCTTGTGTTTTCAGCTCCTTCTATTGCCCTCAAGTGGCCAAAACATTAATGAATAGAACTTTAACTTAATGTGTCGTTGCATATGGGTAAGGGGCAAAAGTTATATGCAAATTAGGTGCCTTCTTGAAGAATATTTACCTTTGTTCATTTATGATGTACTTCATCCATGTCAGGTGGCACTGTCTTGTGGTTTTTGTATTGCATATGCATGTATATGCATATGTTACTGTGGTCTTGAGTTAATAAATCTAGTAAGAGTTAGGCCTAGGTTGAGGTTAGATCCACTGTGAGGGCATGAGGTTAGGGGCCCCCAAAGGTTTAATGATTAAAATTTGTGTTTGTGTGCAGACGCGGGTAGAGGAGATGAGTGGTGACAGGCATGAGATTTCATTTTGACAGTGTGTAAAACCTTGTCAGTCCAAATATTATCAAT